TTTTTTTAATGAATAGTGCATATGAATAGTGCATAAAACGATGTCGTTTTTCCCAAAACGCGTTGTTTCATTTAAATGAGATTTGGCTCCAAAATGCTTCAGATTCAAAATCAAGCCTTCAATTTGGGCGTGTTTTATAATTTGGTCCTTGGTTTTCGATTTCTCCAATTAAGTTCCTAATTGGCCATCAAACTTCAATATTTATGCAATTAAGTCCCTGATTTGACCAAATTAACTCTCAAAAATTATATTTTTACCCTAGAACTTTAATTTCTTCTAATGATTAAAATTATCTAGTTTAGCAAATTAACTAAAAATCAAATTTTCTTACAATCAAAACCTCCATAAATTCAATTAAACCTTTATTGAAGCCATAAACATCTTATTTTGGATTTTCTCCCTAAAATTAATTTTCTTTGTCAACAAGGTTCTCATTAGTTAACAAAATACTGCCAAATTTTAATATTTGTAATTGTAAACCTCTTCAACTAATTTTTGACCATTTTCTGAGCATTCTGACATCCTTTTTTTTTTCTGTTATTATTTTTAAATTAGTTCTTATTATTTTTTTAATTATTTTTATTTTTCTTATTTTTCTATATATATATATATATTTTTTTTTTTTACGCGAGGATCCAAAAATGAGTTACAACAATAGAGCTAAATCCCAAGTATGCATTAACATTTACCATTTCTACTGGGACACTACAGGAGCCACGAATTGTGTGATATGCGCTAGCTCACCCAGGGTGCAAAACAACAATGGAGGATGAACTTACATCTTAACACCAAAATCAAACATAGAAATTGGTACCTTGCACCACTGATATGCATATCATAAGTTTCAAGTGGGTGTTTAAAACTAAACTCTGATCTGATCTAATGACAACTTGGATCGTTTTAAAACCTATGTTATTGCCAAAGATTACCACCACATTGATAGATTAAACTACACTGAAATATTCTCTCTAGTTATAAAGTCAGGCATCATTTGGCTAATTAGGACTATACTCTTGTTCATCATTGGCCCTTAATGTAACTTGATATAAAAATGAGTTTCTACGTGATTTAATTTTTGAAAACATCTAAATGGAGCAGCCATTAGGAATGACAGATCCTCATCTTCCACAACATATCTGCAAGCTCCAACACACGTTTTATGAACTTAAACAAACACCTCATACTTGGTTTGATCATTCTAGTTCTTTTCTCCTCAAATACAGTTTCCATTACAATTTAGGAGACCCTTCTCTATTTATTTTTCATTATGATCATGGCTCTTTTATTTTTCTACTTTATGCTGATGATACACTTCTTACAAGAACTATAGATATATTTATTGTAGACTTCATTACTCTACTTAGTCAGGAATTTGCTATGAAGGACTTAAGGTCTGCCTATCATTTTCTTGGCATAGAAATTTCACCTATGATAAATGGCCTTCGTTTATCACAATCCCATCATACCTTTACAATTTTAGAACGTGTTGATATGGTTGACTATAAACCAATGAATACATCATTTGAAGTGTCGCACCCTCCCGCGAGCGGAGCGCGGCGTCACAGTGACCGTCGATTGATTTCGGGGTCTCTTAGTTTTATTTTTGTGTAAAAGGGAGTCGCCACCTAGTATTATGGTCACTAGAAAACCTAACTGGTCTTTCAGAGATTCTAAGGAAAGGGACTGGTTGCGTAAAGGGAAGGTGTTAGCACCCCTAGTACGCCCTATCTAAGGTAATTGACCACTCCAGGTGTCTTTAGCCAAAGATGAATAGTGAATAATAGCAAATTGTTCCCGATAATATTTTGGATATTCGTCCTTTAAGGATTTCTTTATCCAAACGTTAGCGGTGAATAATAGATGA